CACCAAGAACAGATTGGTTTCATGGCATCACATGAGAGAAGTGCCCCTGCACAGTCTGTTCGTGCTGATGCTCTTGACGCTGCAACTTCCGATCGCTAATACTGGAGGCTTAGTGTCTTTCGCTTTTGCGTTTGCTGGGAACATTGCTAGCCTTCGGATGCTAAAGAGACAGGCCCCAGGGGGAGAATTGTTGGTATTGAAGGTCACCTACTCCTTGTTTTCTGGTCATTGAATTTTTAAGAGAGATACCTTGTGAGAATAAGGTATGGGATGAACAGTGAACAGTTTTAGAAATACATTCTGAATATAATAAGCATGCCAAAGGAGATGGGCTTTTAGTGAATGTAAATCACATTTGGTTATCATCAGGTGGTGTGGGGGAAAGCAAAGGGTTGTTCAAAACCATTCCTACAGAATAATATTACTACCAGCTTCTGTAATGTTGCCACCATGAGTTTCATTAATACCTCGCTAAAATGGTTAAGTGTGAGCTATTGTAAAAGAGAACACAGTAAGTATCACCTTACGCACCTGAAATGATGTGGAGAAGAACGGACTTACAGTTGGGCTTGTACGTTTTCTCTGCTTCTTTACTATGTTGACCTCATTCTTCCCTGGTATGTTTATCGGTGTGTGGATTCCCAGCGTTGTAACTTGTACAGCTGGTCATTCAGATTGTATGTAGCAAATGTGAATAGTACTGCGACACCATTAAGGAAAGGCTGTGCTGCTCCAGAATGACTTTCTCTGTAGACTTTTCTTAAATATTTTTCTAACTTTATTAATTGTTCTGGAGTCCTGTGGAGTAATAGGCACCAAATAGAGACAGATATTCCCTTAAACTACCCAGGTAATCTTCCTTTTAAGAGGAATTGGAGGTGAACTTATTTTTAGAGACTTATGGACTTTGAATGTCAACATTTAAATATCTAAAAAGATTCAAGAATGGGTGACAGTCTTTGGTGAAGGGAGCTCTCCATACTTCAGCACAGTCATAGGGTCTTGATGATTGTATCTCTTTCCTCCAAATTTATTCTTCATATGCTTAAAAGTAATCATCATTTGATGCTTTTGTTATACTTCCCTACCCTTCCTATCTTTCCAAAGCTGGTACCTAGTTAAATATTAGTTCTTCTGTGTTCTAGTTAATGGAGAGATCCAGACCTATGATCAACTGGAGCTCTTCCTACCACTGTTGTGAAAGAACAGTGGGCAAGTCTCACTGTGCTGGTGCAACTGAAGAACAGATGAGGCTCATCTTTGTGGTTAAGTTGTCTGCTTTTTCCCCCAGTGAGGAGCAGTCCTTCTAGATATTACTATGGGCAAAGATGGAGTGATCTCTTGTGTTAGACCATATGCCGATATAGTGCTGATAAGTAAGTGTGAAAAATGAAAGGGAGAAATACATTAATTGTGTTCTCTCAATAAGGTATGCTATCCGAGATAATTACTTCATGACAGTTTTAGTTATAGTACTTGTTTTATTATGAAATAAGAGATGGGTTTAGGAGCCTTTTATTGAAAAGACAATTGTATCAAATTAGTACCAAATTAGATTTTTGTCTTTATAAAGGTGAGCAAACCCATGAGCAGTTTTTAAATTGATGTGTTCTAGTCTACAAATGAACAAATTCTGTTTGAGGGTTAAAGAAGCTATTATTTTGTCCTTTATGCTGACAGCTTCATTACAGATTGGCCTACTGTTGGCATTAAAAAAATGTTTGGCTCCTTATGATCTTTGTGCGTGCAACTATAATATTAATGCAGCACCACAGCTCTGTTCATTAAGAAATGACTTTAAATGAGGTTGAAGCGTGTAAATTTGGAAAGATACAGATGTTAAATGCAGTCGTTTCTCTTTGTATACAGCCGTATGGCTAATAATTTCCAAGTGGCTAAAGCTCTTGTTAGCAGGAGTGCTGGTGTGTTAAGAATGGCTCTATAAATAACTTTAAGAACTGAAGTTGAAGGTGCTTCTTTTAAAGACTATTGTTAACTAAACATTATTGCCAAACAGATGGAAAGCATTCACCGGCCTGATGTTTTTAGGTCTAATTATATTATCACCAGCCCTGTACGGCTCAGTTGAAGAGGTGTATCCAGAGGCCAATTTATAATCATTTAGCCAACACCTGTTTGGGAGAAATTGACAGTCAAAGGGCACATTTTAAAAAAACCACATATGTTCTTGTGTTTATGGCCTCAATGTGAACATTGTCTAGCTGCAAACAAACTTGGTAGGAGAAGAAAGTAAATGTAAACAAAGCAGCCCTTCCCAGCCACGTTTATAGATCTTCATTTGGCCTTTTTGTCTGATCCACTTCATGCTTCCTGGCTAAGGGAGACCTGAAGAGAGATATCACTTCTGATTTATGCACATAGAGCCTGCAATTCAGAGGCTTCTGGTTGGAGAAGGAAGTTCTTTCCTTTGTACAGCTTCCATACTTTTACCCAGCGACACATTTCTATTTCAGAGAGATGTATCTTGTTTAAATAGGACTGGCATTCTGGTGAGTGGCTTAAAGGAGTCACAACTTGATATGAAAACAAATGAGATCTGAGGTACCCTACATGTCTTCACAGACTCAGGGTTCATAGAGTCCTTTTTTGCAGAGAGAGAGGACAAGGCCCCTGCGCCTCCTTTTGCTCTCATGATGTGTTAATTTAGCTGTCAGGGTTCAAGTTCTTTGAATGTGTTTCCATGCCGTGGAAGTCCAAGATTGGCGGTGAAGGTAGCTCAGAGGGAAGTTATGGGGAACTAGGTCTACCCTCTGAAAATAGGTTTAACCTGATGATCCTACCAACTCTTTCACTTTAATGGTTTTCCTTCTTCTGACGTTTTTCTCTACTAAAAGATTTATATATGTCACCTCCATTTCCTTATCACCCATTATTAACTCGGAGGAGTCTGGCTCCTCTCCCACTGGTTCACTGCATAAAGCAGTATTGCAAGTTTCCAGTGGCTTCCTAATGCCTTGGGCAGTAATCCCTTCCCCCTTCTCACTCTTTATGGCTTCTCCTAGATGATTACTCTCATTTTAAAGCATTC